ACCAAGAAGAGAGACAAATTTCTTAATTTTCTTAGAAACATCCAGATCAGCTCATAAGTATGCCCCCAAATAAATTACTAGTGAAGATTATATGTGACACATTTTATATTTCTAAATGTTATTGTGTGTCTTGAAGTAATTTTCTGAATTACCTAACCCAACATGGAAAATCAGGGACCCAAGGGATTTTAGAAGATGGATCAGTCATTTGAAGTTTTTAATATGATAAGAAATTTGCAGAGTTGTCAGGGGCATGTTATGAGTTTGACAGTGGGGTCAAATCAAGATACAGCAAAGTGTTAATTATGTTGGAAAGCAAAAGTTTAATGCATTCCATATGAAGGAACTGGTCACCTGGGCAGATGAGTGGACCAAGAATGGGATTGGGGGGACAAGGACCCATTACCATTAGATGATAAAATGAAAGTGTGGAAGAGAATATCAAATTAACATCAAATTAATCTTAAATGCTCAGACACAAACACATTTTTAGGATTTTGGGCCCAGCAAGATTAAGGGCAATAAAGGAGAATAAAGGTACATGGACATAGTAAAGGCTCTAAAATTTTTCAAGGCAATTATTAGACCATTTAATGGAAGTGATTTCTGTGGATCAAAGGTGGTCCAAGTGGAGGTGACCAGAAAGGAAGCTGATAGATAGAAACTTGACACAAAGGTAGTAAATGGATATTCAGTGTATATAAGAGGAATAACAATGGAAGTGAACACTGAAAAGGAAATTGAGACCTAAAATACCATTTTACTCATGATAATGAAACTTAGTGTTTTGGGAGGATTTTGCTGATAAGGAGTGAATAGATCACTGAAAGAAAAAAACAATTGACCTGAAGAGGATAGGAAAGTTCATATAATTTTTAGTTGAGGACGCACTATTGGAGTATACTGACCACTAATGAACAAAAGCATATACATACCTTGAGGGTACCTTGTCTTGTGTTCTGAAAGGCAGCTTGTGTCAGGGGGTGGAATGTTTGTCCTGGTCCTTATTTATCCTGTCAGACAGCATTGATTTTAGTTGTGTAGGAGGTACTAGAGAAAAAACCCTACAGCTCCACCATGCTGGCACTTACTGATGCAAGATTACCAGAGTTCTCTGAAGGACTGTTGGCTTCAGTTCTGGCAGCGTTCAGAAATGCAGTTATTGTTTGTGAGGGGCAGAAACTCACTTGAAAGTGTGAAACTCACTTGGAAACTGAAAAAGAATTTAAAATAATTCTCCACTGGGTCAGTTTCTTGACTCTGATAATCGGTGTTCTACATGGCCCCCTCCAAAAAAAGAAGTTGCAGAATTATATATTTGTAGAGGAAACAGAGCAAAGTTAGAAAGTGATAGAAATTATCTCACAGCATAAATACAATTCAAAACAAAGTGCATTTCCCTCCCAGAAACAAGAATATAAAAATGTTTTTCTTCAGCTTTTTTGCTGAAGAATTTGCTTTTCCATATTTATGATTCTACATCTGTCCATTACCAAATGCAGACATGATTTTATTCATTTAAGACAGGAGACAATCTGATTTCCAAGAAGGCAAGTCTTCCATATTAAAGCATCATGTTAGTCTTGGGCTTCTGCTAGTGTGAAAATAAGAATGTTTGTTGCTGAGGGACTGAGATCTCCACATAAAATATCTATGAAGGAAATAAATATTTTAAAATGCAAGCACTAAAGTGGTATTGGCACTTCAAAATAGGGTCAGAGGCTGATTCCTCCGTTAGAAGTGTCAGTATTCTAATGCTTGTGACTACACAGACTGAACCTTTCATGATAAAGTAATTACTGTTGATTTTTTTCCAATGGAAAAAACACACAGTTCTTTTTTCATTCAGATCACAAGTTTTCAATAAATAGTGATGCAGGGCCTCATGTTACGTGAAAATGGAAGTTTTTCAAAAGCTGAATTATTCTATCCAGACCGCACAGAAGAGAACACCAGAATAACGTTTGCCTGGCAAATTAATTCATGTTTCTTTTAATGAAGATAATTTATTTAAAATAGCATAGAATAAGCTGTGCTTTTGCAAGATAAATGTGTCTTTTTCCAGATGATCTAGATCTCATAAGAAACATGTAAAAATGTACTTCAGCCTGTATGTACTCAGCCTCAGTGCACAAAAGGAGAGGTATTTGGAAGCCAGGAATTCCTTCAGCCCACTGTCATCAGCTCTGACTTCTCTCTGTTCTAGGTAGCACAAAGGATGCAGGAGACCAAACCTTTGCTTCAAAAAACTGCTTGGTGATATTATTTGAGCTGTCTTTTTAAGACAAACTGATAATAAATAATAGGATTTTCCAGTAGTCCTATTTCCTTCTGATGAACAACAGCAATGAGCTGCTTCCTGGCTTTGCATTTTCCCCCAAAATTGCTTTGTGCCTTAAAGCACATGTTTTAGTTTTAACTTTTGGTTTCAAGGTCACATTTTTGTGCAGAATCAAAATGTTTATTATTCATTAAGTAATTGTATGTAAATATTAAACTTCTGGTATGTGTCATGTCTGGATGTATAAAAGCAAAAGAGTATTAATAAAATAGAATGAAAGAATACAGATTTTGAGGACCCTAAATGGGAATTTCACTTGGGTCCTGAGCTCAACACTTACTGAGTACCTGTAATTAAATGCTGAGCAATTTGAACTTCTGCTGACCTTGGAACTGAAGTTGTTTCAAATGTGTCTCTTATCATTTTAACAACCCTCCAGTTTCTCTTGCAAATGACATATGGTTTTGGGTAAGTTGGAAGGTTGAATACCTTGTGCTTTTACTTACCTTGTCCTGCACTCAGACTGCTGGCAGATGAAACACATGTTCAGCTGTGATACTCCTTAGAGTTTGCTGGAGTTCAAGACTAAAATAACAAAGAGGAGAGGGTGGTTTAGCAGGGAATGGCCACCTCAAGTCAGTCTGGTTAGATTGCTGCTGCTTGCAGTGTCAGCAGAGCCAGCTCACAGACAAAAACACTTCCCAGGTGACATTTGGGTGTTTAGATTAGATGTTAGGAATGAGATTCTTCACTGTGAGGGGGATGAGCCTCTGGAATAGATTTGCAGAGAAGCTGTGACTGCCCAGTGCCTGGAGGTGCTCAAGGTTGGAACAAGATGATCCTCAAGGTCACTTCTAACCCAAAGCACTCTGTAATTCTATAATTTTATTACTATTGTTAACTGTTTAATAAAAAAATAATTTGTTAGGACAAAAAAGGCCTGCTTTTACATGTTCCTACCAAGCTCTGCTCATCACCTTGTTGAACTTCAATTAGTCATATGCAGCCTAACAAGTACATAGAAATGTAATAAGATACAAAGAATAGTCTCTAGCAAAGTGTAGATGTACACACAAAACCTACAAAAGAGTTGGATCTTGGCAGTAGATATAAATTTCATAATCTTATTATCCACCTACACAAGCTTGTACAAGTACCTTGGATGGAAAAGCATGCAGATGGCAAACTCTATAAAAGTGTGAACAAATAAGGTAATTAAAAGATAGGTTTTATTGCAGATAAAAATATATGATTGCTTTTCTCCTCAAATGGTACTCCAATAGAAGTCACAGCTATTTGCATGCAATGCAAATATTTTAATACAAAACATTACCACTAGCTGAAGTTCCTGAGAGTGATGGTAGGAATACAGAATGCTGTATTTGTGTTTCCTTTTCCAGACTGTCTCATATGCTTGGATGTACCTTACCAATGCAAGTCACCCTTTTGTGTCCAGGCTTTAAGATTTTAGCCCTTTCTGGTAAATAAGTTTGTAATTAAAATTAGAATTATTTTTCCCTGATTAAATAATCAAGGAGAGTTGATTCCAGTCTTTCCACTGTACTCACATTATTATTATTAGTCACTCAGATTTATGTCTAGTAAATTTATGTTTGCTTACATAGAAATAGAAGTAAATATGGTATCTATTCTGAGGACCACAATTCTCTGCTAAAAATAAAAAAAAGCGTACTCAGGTTAAATGTTAGGATGTGATTTCTGCTTCCAGACAATTCAGACAGGTCTGTCTAAAACTATAATCAAGTTGAATGTATTGCACTGGTATTCTAATATCCAATTTGGGATTTTGCTGCATAAACTCTAGTAGAGTATGGCTAATCTTTATGAGACTGAAAGTCTCTGTATAAACTCCCTGAATTCTCCTCCATGTGTCTCTGCTAAACTGAGATGTGTCTTCTGGCTGAGTTGTAGAGACATTAAATTACTGAGTAAATCAATACAGTGCTGTTATGTCACTGTATCTTTTTCAAAGAGCAGCTCAAATTTTGTGTGCTGTAGCTTTGATCCCTTTCATTTAATTCTAAGAACACTTGTTATTATAGTAACTGTTGTTTGTATGTTATTTTAGCTTTTTACTTAAGTAGCTATTTAGCAATTTAAATGAAAATGTAATTGGGTTACATCTGTTTTACATGCATGTAATACCACGCAGATGTAAACTTATATTAAAACCATATTTTCTTTTTGGCAAAAAGACATAAAAATAGAATTGTAGCAATCATGCAATACATCTTTTTTTTTTATTTTTTTAAGTAGTGTACACAAGATGTATTCCAGTGTTTATGTTGTGATGGTAACAGCCCTTTCTATTTTTATGAGAGCTAACTGGTATAGCTGTACAAGGACAAGTACAGTGTTATGCTGGTGTAAATCCAAAGGAACTCCATTGAAGTTAGTTAAAATTCCTTACCAAACTTATCAGTTTCAATAACTGACTCTTTCCAGAGTCAAATTCCACACCAAGGATCTCCACTGAAATAAGAAATCTTTCTGAGACTACACAGTTATGAATGACACTGATATTTAGCTTCCAATAGTTTTATTTTAAAGAAAGATGAACTTCTTGCTGGCTGCTCTTACAAAATGCTGAGTGCCCTCAGCTGTTGTTGATTTTGATAGGGTTGTTTTCTACTCTATAGAAAGAGAGATAAAAGATAGGGATTCAATTCCAGCTTTCTCTCTGCTTTTGTACAGGTACTTAGGGAAGGTACTCAGTGTCTCGTGCTTGTTGTTCTGAAGTGTGAATTTGGCCCAAGTAAGGACTTCAAGATTGTCTCGGAAGAGTATTTAAGCAGGTAATTTACAAAGTACCAATGAAAAGCTGGTAGGAAACCACAGAGAGTCAGTAACTCTGCTACAGTTTGTTTACTACAAGGTTGGCATTTCAAGAGAGAGTAATGCATTTATTCTGAACAATCTGTAATGATCCACTCAAAATTATGTTCTCCAAACACTTGATTTGTTTTCCCTTATTTGTTTGAATTAGCTAAGCCTGGGACTTCATGAGATGTCCACAATCCAAGTCTTGGTTAAAAATTATTACAAAGTAGTTTTGTAAATATTGATCAGATTTTTGTGAGCATATAGAGTAAACATCTACTTTTAAAACGCTTTTCCCACATACACACTGTAACTCCTAAGTTTTATCATTTCATGGAATTTATCTTTTGCTTTTGTATTAACTGAGCCGGCCCAGTTAACTTTGATGTATAAGATACTCTAAATTTTCTTCATGAGTCTGCCATAGAAATTGATGGATGCAGAAATCTTTAATTCCTACGTGCAGACTTCAGTTAATTGTTTGTCTGTTATGCAGTTAAGAGTTGGACTCAAAGATCCTTGTGGGTGCCTTCCTACTTAGAATATTCTGTGATTATACATATGGTATGTACAGAGGATGGTAATAGGAACAGAAAAGAAACACAAAGAAGGTTTTTAAGTTTTGTCAGGTCAAGACTGGAAGCTGGGATGGTCCACATATTTCCTCTTCCTTTCTTTCTGCATGGAAATATTTTTTTTTTCCTTTCAGTGCCATTCTCCTTCCCTGTGGACTGGGCTGTGAAGCACTTGCCCTCGAGTTGAGATAATGATTTATAGAAATACATGTATATAGATGTATGAATATACATAGAGAGATGTATACATACAAATGTATAAATATCTATCCAGGGATATATATATATATATATATATATATACACACAATTTTAAAACCTCTTGAGTTTTAAGAATTTCATGTGGCCCAAAGCCATGCTGTCAGTAGTGTAGCAACTGTCTCGGTTTGCAGACTGCTGGTGCCAAGGGCCGTCAGCTGCTGCTGCTGCTGGGGATAACTCCACTCTGCACCTCTCAAGGTATTTGCAGACTGGGTAAACTCTACAGAGAATGATTCAGTGTTAACTCACATGGTGACTGCCTGTGTGATTTATGGAGATTTTCAGTAGGAACTTGGTATGTACAGTGGATTCTTTCTGTTTCTGTCTCCTTCTGGACAGCCGTACCTCCATTTATTCCATATAAGAAATAGCTGCCTGTGCTTGGCAAGGAAAGCCATCTCAGAGATGTGGTGGGGAGGCTTAGAAACGCTAAGTACTTTCTCCTGGATCCACAGCTGCTCCAGCCATGCTACCCAAGCATTCCCTCTTTTGGCAGTGAGACAGAACATGTTCCTAACCTGCCCTTTTATGCCAGTCTGATGTAATGCTTGTGGTAAATAAAAATCATTGTAGTTGTGAATTAACGTTAACTTTGATTACTGACACCTCAAGTTGACTAAGACAGATCTCTGATTATTAGAATTTTTATGACAGTCTTACAAAGATACTGAATATATTTTAAGTTAAATGTATTGAGTGGAGGGTGAGAACATAGTTACACAATTAATAATAATTATTAAAGCACCTGATGTGGCATGTAACATCTTTTCCTTTATGCTGTGACAACTTCCTGTGCTGAAGAGGTACATGAGTGTCTGTTACAACTGCCAGGGTGGGAAAAGAGCACTGAAACTTGGACTCAGTATCAGATCATGTTTCACTAACAGAACAAGATTGATTTATTGTGTTACATCAGGGTTAGATGGACCTAGCACAGCTTCACCACATGCTATTTCATTCCCTTGTCTACTAAGTATGCAAGTACAAACAGCTTTAACACAATTCTTTACCTAGAAACAAGCCTGAGGCTTCATCCAAATACTTTTAACATATGAAAATTGAGCTGCTTTGAACTTGTATGTTTTTGATAACTGCTTGGTATGCTTCCTGGAGGATCACCTGTAGGCTTTTCTTTCCAAATCCTAATCCCTTTGATTAAGTGCCAGGACAGATAGCTCTCATTGAATAACTTCAGTCTCGTAATTCTTCCTTCATTCAGAGTTGAAAGGGAGCTGCTCAAGCTTCAATAGGTAAATCCTCAGATTTAGTTAAAGTAATTCAGACACTTAGAAACTGAAATTGTTTTGTTCTGAAGCAGGGTTCAGATGGGCTACTGAACATTTACATACCACTTGCTGCCAGAAGCTGTAGGATGAAAAAAAAAAAAACCAAACAAATTTTTTAGCAAGAAGGATTAAGAGTAGGCAAACTTCGAGAACCAAACATTAAAGACAACCTGGCATGGAAATTTAAACCCAGAAATAGGAACAGAGTTACTTTGCTTGACTGCTCTTGTGGGTTTTTTTTCTGCAAGATCAGACTATGATGCTGGGCTAAACATTCCATTCCTTCCTTGGCCCTTCTTGTCAGAAACTACCAAAATAGGGAATAAGCAGGAGAAAAAAAAAATCCTTCGTCTTTTTATCTTTACAAGTATGCCTGCTGGGAACAAACCTGAGCCAGTTCAAGATTCTTCTATTTAAAAGTGTTTGTGGCAGACGAGTATGACGGGGAATTAGAACTAAACCTGTTAGCTGCTGATATCTGGGGAAATAGAGCTATCTATTGCACATACAGTTTTGCACACGTCAGTTTGCCTATGTGCATAATGAAGCAGTTTTCTCTGTGGAGGACTTGCTGTTCACCTAGGAAATGAGAATATTTCCACATGAATAATTTGCTTTGGTTAATTCTAATACAGCCAGAAATGGAGCAGAACAATTAGAGAAACTACACTCAGTTTGTGTGATATGGATTTTCATAGTGCCTTCATCCTGAAAATTCGTTATATTTAGAAGAATGCAACCTGCCAAAATAATACATGAAACTGAGTATTGTGGCACTGTCCTGAAGAGCTGCCCACTCTGTGAACAAGAGCTGGGGCTTCCATGGCTATAAGGAGTTTATAGTTAAGCAAAACCCCTTGGGTGACTGTGCACCTTGTTAGCATTAGGCTTTCAGTCAGATCCTTTTGCCTCTTTGCCACCAGATTGTTCCAAAATATTCATATGCAGTCATTTACACTTGTAGGTAAAAAAAAAGTTAAATTCTTATACTGCCTCCATTATTAGTTGTTGTCATGGCAGGCAGGAGAGTTATTTCTGCAGCTCTTTGGCAGGTCAGATGTGTGAGCCATTTGAAGATGAGGTTTTACCATGACAACAAACCACCACTGGAATTAAGTGTGGGCCTTAAACACGACAAGATTAGATTAAAAATTAGGAAACATGTAAAGAAAGCCAGCCCCACAAGTCTGGGGTACTTCTGGCTGTTCAGATTGCTTTCCATTGGGACAGTAAAGTTCAACTTGATTTTTTTCTTTTAAGAATACTGGGGGTTTTTTCTAATCATATCCCACATATCATGAGATTTGTGATTGAGTTACAGCTCAGCTGCATCATTACAGTTAAGTCTGGAAAAAGAATGGAATGGTATCCAGCTGCAACTAATAAGCAAAAGCAAGGATGGCATAAATGAGCTAGAATTTATAACGACACAAGTGCTAATTTCTTCAATCTAGAAAATAATTACATAGGGTAGAGGATTAGGATTTCAGTCTTTCCTGGGAGATCTTTCTGCAAACAGAAGAGCAACACCTATGGTCTCAAATCAGTGTTACGTCCAGACAAGTTCATCTCAGTCTAATATTATGAGGTCTAGCTTATTATTTTATTCCTTAAACTAATTTAATAAATGAACCCAGTAGGTATTAGATTTGTTATTAGGCAATGACAACTTGAGGGTTCTGGTTAATAAGATAAAAATAAAGTAGTTTGGTTAAATAAACTTTGAAGCAGAAAGCCTGAAGGCCTCTTGTTATTACCTCATTAACAAGAAATGCCATTAAGTTATTATTATTATCCTGTAATGGTTCTCCTCCTTATCACTCTTGCATTCTGATCAGCAGGGATATTTAATGAAATAGCAATAAATTTTAAGAAATTACATGTACCAAGGCAAGACTGTAAACTAAAAATGGAAATAGAAAGATTTAACTTTTGAACATACACTTTTTAAATGGGAAAAGATTCTGCATGTTCTTACAACAAAGCTTTGGAATGAAAGCACAAGTTTATGACACATTTTATTAGACCTGTAAATCTGAAAGCTTAGCTGTAGTTTTTAATTTTTATTTTGCCTCCATAACTATTTTTATACCCTCTTTATAGTTGACTGGTCCAAATAAGTTCTGCTAGGAGTCTATGCCCCATTAGTCTTCTATAATAAAATGTGAACCTAGCTAAAATAAAACATGATGCCTTAAGAGCAATTAAGAATGGTCTTTTGTAGATAACTGTAACATGAAATACAATCACTGTTTTTATTAATGGATTTGGGAAAAGCAGCTCAGTGATTTATAGAACAGAAAAGGGTTATTTTACATTTCTATTTCTTTTATTTTATGTCTCACTCCTCTGAAAACCTTTTAAGACTCCTGAAATAATCAAAATCTGTGTTTCTAATGTTTATCATGTTAATGTGAACCTTGGTATCCATTTTATTTAGGTAGTGCTAAGATGTCAGCTAAGAAGATGTCCTTTTTTTGCTGTTACTCCATTCCAAAAAGTGTTGGCTTTGAAAGAAAATCTTGTTGAGTGTTTTATAAGAGTGATAAAATGTAAAAGCTGTGCATTGTACTTATAAATGCAGGATTTGAAGGACACAGACAAAATCTACTGGACATTGTTTGAACACAAAGCAGAGCATTTAATTAGCAAATAGTTTCTTAAAAGGTATAAACACAGTTGACACATGTCTTTCTAATTGTATAATAATTATTTCTTTGTGATTATTACATTAAGCTTCTAATTACTTGAAGTCTTCAAGATCAGAGTTTAATGTGGCTGGAAATAGAATCAGCACTGTTAAATGTGGAGATGTTTTTCTTGCATTTGGCACATTTAGAAAACTTCAATTTG